TCCCTTCTCCTGCTGGCCACACCATTGCTGATCCAAGCCAGGATGCCGTTGGCCTTCTTGGCCATCTGGGCACACTGCTGGCTCCTGTTCAGCCGGCTGTCGACCAACACCCCCAGGTCCTTTTCCACCGGGCAGCTCTCCAGCCACTCATCCCCAACCCTGTAGAGTTGCGTGGGGTTGTTGTGACCCAAGGGCAGGACCCAGCATTTGCCCCCGTTGTTGAACCTCATACCATTGCCTCGGCCCTGTCCAGACCCCTCTGCAGAGCCTTCCTACCCTCCAGCAGATGAACACTCCCACCCAGCTTGGTGTCATCTGCAGACTTACTGAGGGAGCACTCAATCCCCTCATCCAGACCATTGATAAAGATGTTACACAAGACCGGACCCAATACTGAGCCCTGGGGGACACCGCCAGCAGGGTTTAACTCCATTCACCGCCACTCTCTGCGCTCGGCCATCCAGCCAGTTCTGCATCCACTGAAGACTGCACCCATCCAAACCACGGGCAGCCAGTTTCTGCAGGAGGATGCTGTGGGGAACAGTGCCAAAGGCCTTACGAAAGTCCAGGTAGACAACATCAGCAGCCTTTCCCTCATCCACTGGGCAGGTCACCTGGTCATAGAAGGAGATCAGGTTGGTCAAGCAGGACCTGCCTTCCATGAAGCCATGCTGGGTGGGCCTGATCCCCTGGCTGTTCTTCACATGCCTGTTGAGCACACTCAAGAAGATGCCTTACTTCTGCCCTCCGATGCACACAGTCTGGCAGCCTTTATTTATACGAACCCACAGTGATGTCCCTGCCTCACCCAGTGCATGCAGCAGGCACTGTTTCTGAACAAAGGACTGCCTGATATTTCATTTTCCTGTCACTGTCCAGTGGTCGCCTCCTCTCTCAGCATTGTATGAGCCCTTCCCCAAAGACAAGTCTGCATTCCCTGTGGGTCTCTCTATAGAAGGCACAGCTTACAGCAGATGTGAAAACTCAAGATGATGCTTGTCAAAAGCACAACATTTTTTCAGGTGAGAAATAACTCACCAGTCCCCATTCTGTAAAGGCGATCTGAGGGAAACATTAAAGATGGAAAAATAAAGGAAATAGACTGGAAGCACTCAAAGTAGAGGCTTTGGCAGCGGTGAGCAAGCACTCCCACACGGCCCATCAACACATCTGCCTATGTGGGGGGCAATGTACACTGTCCAACAAGCAAGGCCAAATTCTGTCCAGAAAATGCATCAGGAGGACTTTGGGCAGCAGGATCCAGCCTTCAGCTGGGGACCAAGCACGCTGAGGCTGCAAACGCTTTGCCGTGCAGGAGGGACCTGTCCCCCCACACCACAGCTCACCATGGCCGAGGGACTGTTCCCAGCACAAAAGCAAGAAGGAAGACTCGGAGAGAAGCTGCAAAACCGGGAGAAAAAGGAACTTCTTTGTGTACAGAATAGCAGTTCTTCCAGAGCTGGAGCCCTCCTCAAGTGAACAGTGCAGGCACCTGAATAAGTTTCTATGCCCAAGTGAAATCAGTGATACTCAGCTGGCTGCTACTGGAGCATGTTTGTAATAAAACAGGCAAGCAGTGGGTCAGCTCCTACCAGACTTCTTCCCACATCTTGTCTCTAGAGGGAGGAGCATCTTTTCCTTATTTTCCTCTGCAGAAACAGCTCAGGACTCCATATGCCCACCGCTGGCTTAGCTCCTAACACACAGCTCTGAGCTCAGCAGGTCTCTGGACAGCCAGGTGCCAGAGGCAGGACTGGGTTTACTACAACGATCTATTGCAGGGACAACTCTGCTTTTCGAAGCCACATCATTAACGTTCTCGGCACTTTTTTATTGATTTCCTTGGCCTTACTGATTGATCCAGACAGCTCCTCCACTTTGGGTACGTATCAGGACAGCTTTGCTTGACCCAACAGAGGTAAAACATGACGACTTTGGTAGCAGTAGAGTTCACACTGCATCCTTGTGAACCAGAGCTAATCACACGCACTCATGTTGAAAGTTACACCTTACACGCCACCACAAAGCAGAAGCCAACCCCAAATAGCCATGAGCCCTTAACCTTGGCCCAGCCTTCCAAAAGCAAACAGGAATGCTCCAACCTATATAAAAGCGAATAACTACGAACTTCACTAAACTTAAAAACGCCTCAGCAAGGCGGTCCTGCTAAGCACATTTTGTACATCATAACATCACATTTCTCAGCATCTTTTTGACTTTCCAGAGTACACAGAGAGCACCCTGCTAACCAAATTAATAGGGGTGTATCTCCAATTTGAACTCTCCGGTGGCACAGCCATTCTCATTACAGCTGCTCAGGGAGATCCTTGCTGCACCAACAGCCAAACACCCCATACTGACAATCTGGATAATACTTCAGCAACATCCTCAGTCAACTCTTCCATTCTTCCTATTAAACCAGCAGAAGTTTACCTGTGGATAAACACTCACTGCTGGACTGCCTCCCGTGAGCTACAGTTCTGCATGACTCAGAGACTTCAGAGCACCAAAACAAATAAATGACCCTGCTCCATCACAGCTCTCTTTGCAATGACTGTTTTGGCACATGGAAGTTTTGCAGGGACGGAGCTAACAACACACCGGTCCTCAGCAGCCAAGGCTGAGAAGGCCGGCTGTCGGCGTGGGCGCAGCGCCTGTCCTCTCCAGCATCACGCGTGTTCGGATGGGACAACCACCATCTAGTGGCATGCGAAGGCCATTTCACCTTCCAGAGACATTGCTCGCTTCGCTTTCCTAACGAGCGTCTGAAAAATCAGATTGACCTCAGTATTTCCCCCATCTTTTTCCAGCTTGAGTTCAGATCTGCAGAGCTTCTCAGCAAATACCAACCAGGGAAACCAAAAAAACAGCAGAAGCTGGTGAAAAGCAAACGGCTTTACGAATGAAATAACAAATGACAGATGTGAGCTTAAAGGCATGAGGAATTTCTGCTCTACCATATGACTTTCAGCATAAGTAAGTAATTTTTCAAAAGTTTGTACCAATACACATTCCTTAACTGGAGCCATGATGGTAGCAGGCTGCCATGAGACAATGTCCAGATGTACAGATCCCGCCAAGGGAAATCAGCGTTCATCTGCAGTATGAGAACTCCATCCACCTTGCTAAAAAGCAGGTCTAATATTAAGAGCACTAAAGATTAATGACCAAATACATCATTAAGTAGCACGCTAGACCAATATTGCTGCTGACAGCAACATATCCATTTCTACCTCCCTCTCAGCAGCTGCTGCCCAAGAAGCAGAAGAACATAGAGAGAGACACAGCTCATCAGTTTTTGCATGTGCTTCTGTACTGCGCCTGCAGAAATGGAACTTTCCCAAAAAATTAGTGCCAAGTCCTTCTCAAACACACTGCGAATCTTTAGGTGCAACTAATTTACCTTCACACACTAATTGGGTGTTTCTCCCAGCAAATGGCCAATTACATGCCTAATAAGCCACTTCTGGATACGAAAATCTAATTTGTGTGCACAGCCATACCAACTACGAACCAAAATTAAGCACTGGGTTTCGCAAGTCTTCTCCTCGTTACCGGCATAGCCTGCTTTTGATCTAACAAAAGCATCAGAAGCTGTGATGCTCTTTAAGGACTCATTTGATGTAACTGGTCCAGATCAGGTGTAATTTCATACCCAAACACTTGCTAATGTTTACACAACAAGTGTCTTCCTTCATTTTTTAATAGTCGGTCTTTTACAGCTAACAGGTACTTGGCTGAAGAGCTTCATACAACACTGGCTTCTCCATGTTTTTCTACTCTGAGAAGTGTTTGGTGATGCCCACCAAACAGACCTCTGCCAACAGAAAGCGTATCAGGAAAACACTGAACATTTGCAATAGTACCTGCTCTGGTTTGATGGGTTCAGTTGTTGTGAAAATGTCGGAATAATGTTGCCTCTCAAAGACTCGATCCAACACTTCTAGCTGCTGCTGGGTGAAAAGGTCTCCTCGCATCTGTTTCCGAAGAAAATCTCTGCCCGGGAGAGAATGGCCGTTTGGTACTGGAGATTCCTGAATACCTTTCAAACAGGAGAGAAAAGACAGAGAATAAGTCATCATCGCAACAATGAGACCTACAGAGGAGTGTCTCATTCTACCCCTTGCACAGATGTGGGTGTCCATATGGTGACACCATGAAGAACTCTTTGAGAGGGGGTTACTAGCAAGGCACGTATTTCCAGACGAC